GAGTGAGTGAGTGTGTGTGTGTGTGTGTGTGAGAGAGTGTGAGTGAGTGTGTGCGCGTGCGTGCGTGTGTGTGTGCGTGCGAGTGAGTGTGGTATGTAGGACAGTCAGGTCTCAGAATAGGTGTGTTAGGTGTGGTACATCGAGTGTGTCGCTCTTTTTCCCACGTGCAACTCTCAAACTAGCTTGACGGGTCGATCTACTTCACACTAGCGACAAGATGACCTGATGGGTCACATGACACATTTGGCTTCAGCAGAAATTCTTGCAAACACTATTGTTTTTAAAATCAGCTATCTATAAATATTATAACCTAACTGTACTAAAATGGTTACGTAGGCACACACGCCACTGTATAGTACGCTTAGTTGAGTCTGTATTTAAGCTCTTATTCATTAGACACTTAACAGGAAGGTGTGTGAGCTCACTGATCTACTTCCTGTTGGTCCAGAAATCATTCCGAAGCAATGGAGAGCAGAAATAGTTTGTCTGGTCTTTACTGCCGTTCAGAGATGATCAGACACCAGTGGTGCCCAAACCAGTTTAACCTGCACAGGTAAAGCCCCAGACAGAGAAAGCAAATCTCAGTGAAACTCTCACGTGACCTAAAGAATAAATAATAGTATAAATATAGGTAAACAAAAAAAAATCAGTGTGGAGACATTTTAACATTTCTTCATAGACGTTTAAAATAAGAAATGCGTTCTGTAGCCAACTTTTCTTTAACGCAAACATCATTTATATCACTTTATAATTATCTTTTTTATTTAAATTGTGACTTAGTTTCAATATCACTAGCACACTTTCTGGATCACAATGGTTGGATTTACATAAATTATCAACATAAAAACACGTGTTTTGCTTTTTTAATTTCAAATAAATTGTTTTTGCGCATTGTTTGGCACCTTTTTTGAAATGTACATTAATTATAAATGTATGCGCTTATGTAATTAATAGTTATAACATCAGTTCGGACAAGTAAATAAAATAAAGGTTAATCATGACTGCCCTTCACTTCAAAAGATATCAGCGTAATAGTCTCCAGAGTCTGAAGTAAAGAATAAACTCACCCAAAGATCTGAACCCCAATCCATGATCTCTGACAGGTCCGAAAGAAAGAAAGAAAGCCACTGCAGCCTGTCCCAGAACGAATTCAGCTCCTGAAGGAGGTTTGTGTGGACTCAGAGTGTTTCCATGAATATCAGGTAACCCGTGTCTTTGTGATTTCTCTCGCGCTCAGCAGGTGAGTCTGATCGCAGCACACCTGAGTGCACAGGTGCCGTGACCTCTGATTCTGCTTCGGAACCACTGCTCGTTTCCACTGGACTTCTGACATATAATGCAATGTCAAACTTCATTACGAAAAAAAAAAACACCGGCAAAATGGAAGATATTTATGATCGCATGATGACAGAGGCGTTTGTGTTCAGTAATAGCACTGACATCTACTGGATCGAACATGTTAACACACACGGCTGCTAGTACACTGAACCTCAACCGATTGTCTTTGCCATATCAGAGCTTTTCAGTGTATTGCATGTGCAGATGTTTTTATCCAGACAAACGTATAACTTGTAAAATGTTTAAACTATTGCAATGAACAAAACACCTCTAAACAGCACGTGTGTTATCAGAACAATCATTCATTTACTTTGATTAATTCACTGAACAGATAATGTACATGGAATTTTCAAATCGCATCTGCATGCAACAAATGAAAATAGGATATTCAGAGCAGTCATTCATTTACTTAACATTGATGCGCATGAAACCATCAAATTACGCCTTCATAGCAACTCTCTTTCACAAATGTCCAGAGAATATTGGAGACATGTCTTGCATTGAATGTATTTCATGCTCCTCCATTAACACTGGCAGTTTCCCAGACTCTGATATTATTCATGAGAAAAATATCCGATGAGGAGAAATACATATTCAACACAGCACATACATGCTTCATACGACTGCGAGATAACGCGTTCTGTGTGTGTTTCCGCGTAACTGTTACAGAATGTTGCATGGGTTTCCCCGCGATCATCTTTCCTGCAATGATTGCATTTGCGCATACCATACTGTAAGTGCAACCCAGCTTTTGTGGTTCCCATGGTTCAGCTTTAGTAACCATGATTTCGTTTGGTTTTGTTTGTAGTATGCCATGGATCATTTGGGTGAGGGATCTCTAAGATGCTTCCTGTCAGGTGTTACAGAGACATTGAGGAAATGCCTTTAAGATGTTACTTTTTAAAGACATTTATCAGATGTTTGTTCACAGCAGATGCTTTCCAGAATCTTTGAGATGTACATGTGCTATCTGGGTTCAGTTCAACTTTATTGAGTGGCTTGTAAGAGTTGGGAAGGCAAGGCAAGGCAAGTTTATTTGTATAGCACATTTCATACACAATGGCTCATACTCTGTCCAGGTGTGTGTGTGCCATTCAGGTTGAGTAGTTTGGCACACACTACTGAAGGATGACGGATGGAGAAGTAGATGTTGTCCTTTAGCACTCTTGCACCAAGTTTGTTTAGGTGGAGGCCATCCAGTTTAAACAGTTGTCTATGGCCCCAGAAAAGATTGAAGTTATCGATGAAATTGACTCCTTTTAAGCTGCAGATTCTTTGTAGCCATGTGTTCAGCCCAAGCAAACGTGAAAACATATTAGTTCCTCTTGCTGGGAGTGGCCCACTGATGAACGACTGAACTTTAAGTCTTCGAAGTGTTTCAAAGAGTTCACTGAAGTCCTTCTTAAGGAATGTTGCACTTTCTCTCCAGCAGATGATACAGATGGAGGGAATATTTCCCCAGTACTAACAGACATGAGGATGGTGCGGGACAAGCTATGGAATGATGAATGGGAAAAATACAAGGGTCCAAAAGTTCATTTGGATTGGATTTCTGATTTCTTTCATGATACCTTTTTTTTTTTGGGACCAATAATTAAGTTTTTTATGCCTATTATACTTACTATAGGGTTTGTGATTCTATGTAATGCTAAATGTACTGATCTGATCGAGGTATAATGTTCAATACCGAGACTCGAACCCGCGACCTTTGGGTTACACATCCAACTCCAACCATTAAGCCACGACGGCCCAGTAAGGCATCAGCAAGCTATTAGAGAAAGTCCATTAATACACATTTGAGTGATTCTAAAAACGTAAAGTTGACGAATAATGAAAAAAATCAAATTGCTCAAAACATTCAAGTACAAAATATTAAATAAACTATTATAAACTCCATCACTGAAAGCATCATGTGATTTCTTTTATTTGTGCATCTGATTCCTCTGTCAGTGTTGCAGCAATAGGAAATTGTGAATTGAAAGCGAAAGCGATGGCATTGGCGGTGTCTTGTCACCAGTCATTCTGTTAATGAATTATCACATATTTCCAGGTTGCGAAGATGTCGGGTCAGATGTCTCACGCACCCTCAGAAGTGCACACTAAACGTCCACATCAAAACTGCAGATCAGTGAGGAAGGGAACGGTGAGAAAATCACACACGTAAGCTGATGCAGGCTGCGTTATATAACACACATGCACAAGCTCATTTAGAATTCTTCAGATTATTAGAGCTCATCAGTTTGTGAATGCAATCTTTATGGTTGAAAGATGATGATAAAATATGCTAATGTTCATTATCTGCTACCGTCTTTGCACCAGCGAGTCCAATCAAAATCAATTGAGTGGTAATTTCATTTGAGCCCTGTTTTAAAGAATGGTGCAGAATCTTTCACAGAACCCCTTCTTCTTGGGTAAGGGTTCTTGCGCAGGCGTGTCATCATCTAACTGGATTATGGTGTCGTTGTTCTGAGCTGCAGGAGGCTCATTGTGTGCTGGTTCACTGGAGGATAGAGTAACCGCAGTGAAATCTGAACTGACTGTGTTTGTAGTTTGAGGTCTGTAATTAATGACAGGCATTGGTGGGATGTACTGTATGTATGAATAATAACCCATCTCCACCAGAAACGCATATCAAAACTGCAGATCAGTGAGGAAGGGAACGGTGAGAAAATCACACACGTAAGCTGATGCAGGCTGCGTTATATAACACACATGCACAAGCTCATTTAGAATTCTTCAGATTATTAGAGCTCATCAGTTTGTGAATGCAATCTTTATGGTTGAAAGATGATGATAAAATATGCTAATGTTCATTATCTGCTACCGTCTTTGCACCAGCGAGTCCAATCAAAATCAATTGAGTGGTAATTTCATTTGAGCCCTGTTTTAAAGAATGGTGCAGAATCTTTCACAGAACCCCTTCTTCTTGGGTAAGGGTTCTTGCGCAGGCGTGTCATCATCTAACTGGATTATGGTGTCGTTGTTCTGAGCTGCAGGAGGCTCATTGTGTGCTGGTTCACTGGAGGATAGAGTGACCGCAGTGAAATCTGAACTGACTGTGTTTGTAGTTTGAGGTCTGTAATTAATGACAGGCATTGGTGGGATGTACTGTATGTATGAATAATAACCCATCTCCACCAGAAACGCATATAACCTCATCCTCCTGATGATCATGAGAAGGCCTCTGGAGATCCGGTAAGTGGCGTCTGGATCGTAGTTGGATCGGTCGTGGTGTTGAGTCACATAAACCCGATGAAAGCACTCCTCATCGAGACTGACAATGATGCGATCCGTGTTGCTGTCGTGCTCGTCAGTAGATTTGTCTTCTGAGACGTAATCGGGAAGATCTTCAGCTCCTGGTGAATTTAGATTGCCAACCACATAGTAAGGAAAATCTTCGTCTGGAAGAAGTTTATTCCCATATTGGTCGTATCTGTTCTGAAAATAGTGAAACCCAAAATCTCCCTCGGCTGGGTCACATTCAGAGAGCATGCTGTGGTTTTCAAAAGAGACGCATTCACTGGCAAACCAGTAGAGGAGGCTGAGTCCGTGTCTGGGCCGGGGTCGACCGAACCTCGTGTTACTCAGATGGACTAATTCATTTAATGTTCCCACCATGGTCCTGCACCTTCAGAAGAGAAATGAGTGAATAAGCGTTTATTAATAGATGCGGGATCACTCAGAGTTCTGTTGAAATATGTGTCCCTGCAGCACAAAAGCAGTGTTAAGTCGCTGGGGGATATTTGTAGCAATAGCCAACAATACATTGTATGGGTCACAATTATACATTTCTCTTTTATGCCAAAAATCATTAGGATATTAAGTAAAGATCATGTTCCATGAAGATATTTTGTAACTTTCCTACCGTAAATATATCAAAACTTAATGTTTGATTAGTAATATGCATTGCTAAGAACTTCATTTGAACAACTTTAAAGATGATTTTCTCAATATTTAGATTTTTTTGCACCCTCAGATTCCAGATTTTCAAATATTGTCCTATCCTAACAAACCATACATCAATGGAAAGATTATTTATTCAGCATTCATGTGACGTATACACAAATTGACCCTTATGACTGCTTTTGTGCTGCAGGGTCACATATATTCTCTACATTTACTGTATATAACCTGCTGAATATAACGGTATATAAAGCTATGCTTAAATGTATTTATTTATTGTTGATTGGAAACTTTTTTTTTTTTTTTTTACCAGTATTCAATAAACACAATAAACGAAACTCCTCTAGATGTTATAAAGCGCTGCTCTCTGATTGTCATTCTCTAACAGCAGCAGTCTTGCTCATTTTAATCACAGTCTTACTTTCTGTCCGTCACTGATTTCTGGTCTTTTTTCTGAAGGGTCAAATTACGCACATCCAAAAAAGTCTTGGCCAGGTGCAAGATCAAAAGGTACATCAAATAATAGAGAAACGATCTGCACTGTTATTCTCCCTTTATTCAAAGAAGTTAAAAATAGCAACTTTTCGGACAAAGACCTTGGTCAGGCAAACACAGGCGTGTTTGCCTGACGAAGGTCTTTGACCGAAACGTTGATATGCCTGTTTTTTTTATCATAAGTTGAGAATCTCTGGTTGTCAGAAACGTTCCACAAGCAACACATTCGCTTGACTACTGTGAGCATACAGCAGAAATGGAGATCAAATCAGTAATACAACCTTGTGTGTGTGGTGTATATTTATAAAAAATTTTTATAAATTTTTATTCTATCTAGAAAATTTTTTTCTATCACTTTTGTTTAATAGAGGAATATTTCTTTCACGAGTAGATAGATAGAAAGTGAGATCATACCTCTCTGAAAAGCGTCATATAAACCTGCTGTGGAAGCACAGATAAGCTGAAAGACTCGCTCACTATCTGACAAACACTAACACAAGACGCTGGTGTGGGCGTGCTGTTTCTATGGAGAGTTCATTAACGTCACGCTTGGCTGCGATGGTTTCCAAACTGTCCCTGGAGCCTCCTTATTGTTGCACCTTTGAGATGTTCCTCATTCTGAACTCCTCAGCTGATCAGACCTGAGCTCAGGCTCCAGAAACTGCTTGAAAGCTTCTGGATTATGGACACAATACCTGTGTGTACTTTCATCTACTGGATCATGTGATGCAATAGTAATGTTTAACAAAAGTGGGTGTGGTTTAACTGCTTCAGGCAAAAAATTAAAGATTTATGGAAATTCAGAAGTGGGAGGAGCTTCTGCTCAAGATAACAGTTCAGAGGAAGTACAAGAAACATCTACAAGTATTATTATTTAAGGTGACTTAGTAACTACTTCGAAGGAAAATTTGGAGTTTTGTTAGTAAGAACCAAGAATGGAGGCAGTCGGCAGATTTCTTTGTGTAATCAACCATTTCTCATTTGAACTGATGCAAAATGTACATTATACAGTATATTTCATGCTTGAAAGCGTACATTGAGCTGATTTGTAATCTTTGTTTTTAAATGCTGTGTTCAGAGTGTCCAGCGAATGCACCCATGAGTTCTGTTAAATTAGTATCTAACTCTGTCCTGAGAGAGCTGGACCTGAGTAACGCTGACCTGACTGGGCGCAGATACTCTTAGGCTGATAAATCAGTTGATGTTCAGTGGTGATTCCTTTAGTCAGGTGGTCTGATTACAATATCTCTTCATCCCAATAGAAGAAGAAATGACATACCTGTCGGGCAAAGCTCCTTCTCACACACAGGCGGACTCACCTGTCAGCATCACAAGACTGACTAATACGCCTAATATACTGACGGATGAATCTATTGTAATGCCTTTAAAAATGTTTTTTTTTTGCTATGATCCTGACTTTTTTTTGTTTTATTATTTTCGCTTTTCACTCAACTTATTTAGCCAGTGCATTTACTCATTATATTTAACTTAAAATGTCTTATGCCCTGTAAAAAAAAAAAAACATAAAAAAGATTGTAATTTTAAAAGCTTTCTAACTTTTTCTCAAACATTCCCTTGTGTGTCTGTGTGTGTTCGTCATGCTGAAAGATGTCTGGACAGGGAGGAAGGAGGACTTTGGACGCCTTGGCCGAGTTATGACCTCACATCTTGATTATAAAAGACTAAGTTGATTGTTGATTCAAATTCTGATCCCATGGATCAATCTCTCTGAGGCTGGATGCGCGAAGCTGATTACACCATAGATTTATTGTGCTTTATTCTTTAGTATACGACATAATTCAATCGTTTTTATCTTATACTTGAAGTTTAATTTCCCTTGACTTTTTTGGTTAAATTAAAAGGATTTGCAACAAAAAACTGCCTGCCGAGGCGTTGGATTTAAACGTTTTAAGACCTTGAGCACGAGCATACAACTAGGACTGCAGATTCATCTGTGGTGAGTTTTTTTATTTTAGATGCTTATAATTCAAGTGCATATTCAACTTACTCTGAAGATATGGCTAAAGGTGTTAAGATACACACCCCAAAACAACTTCTGACATTGGTTTCTAGTACAAAGGTTGCGTATGTTTTACAGTCTTGCTTTGTCTAAAGTCCATGTGAAGTGACGGTCCACTGCATGTAATTTATGATGCTGCGTTGCACTGGTGTTTGTTCTTTTACTCATGAGTGCTGTTTAATGCTGAGTAGGGGCATCTGCAGGTTTCACGGGACAGAAGGGAGTTTTGTTTTTCTAAAAACAAATGCTTGCATTAAAAAAAGTCCTTTCTGTTCCAGTATGACTCTGTCTCGCTTCAGCATCATTGACATTTTGTCTATTTTGTTGTTGCGTTTGTCGCAGAAGGAAGGTGCTTTTCCTTGCTTTCACAAACAACTGAAAAACATTGTTTTACGGAAGTCCCATGTCTCATTTCTTCCTTCCAGTACTCAGCAATTCAAAAGTTCAGACCAAATGATCTTTAAGAGCAACCGCAATAACGAGTGTACAACTGATGTACACCCAACAGCTAGCGAATACCCATAATGCACTGTGAGGGTCATGCCAAATGAATTCCCGTGTCTCGCCAGAAGATGGCGCCTGCAGCTGAGTTATCCATCCAAGGAGGGAATGGGGGTAATTCCCAACACAGCTACATTGCACATTTGGCTACTTCACTTTTCTTCCACACACAAGACTGTTTGCATCCCTCTGCTATTCTGTTTGGTGTCCGTGTTTGTGTGTGTTAATGTGGGATTGATTATTGTTTACTGGAAAAGAACATGATAAATCCATCTATAATGTACCGCAGGGACTCATGTTGACTAAGTGTTCATAAGGAGCAAGTTGCAGCTGGCAGTCACTGCATGTGAAGCTGGTCTTTAGTAATCTCGAAGCAGAACATGAAACTCTGAAACATTAGTTTAATTGCACTGTCACTCATGGCCTGATCTCATCGCAGCAAACATTTGACACACTGGAGCACAAAACCACTCATGAGGGTCAATTTTTAGAAATAGAGATGTATGCATCATCTGAAAGGGGGAAAATAATCTTTCCATTGATGTATGGTTTGTTAGGATAGGACAATATTTGGCCGAGATACAACTATTTGAAAATCTGGAGTGAAACTACTTCAGATCTTGTTCTTGTCCCGCAGAAGTGAATCATTGAAGGACGATGGCATCTGTTAAAGAGCTGCTCGTGAACTCACTGAAGGATCTAGTAAAAGCTGATCTGAGGGAGTTTCAGTGGCACTTGAAGAATCATGAGTGTGTTTCAGCTTCTGCGATGGACAAAGCAGATGTCTTAGACACAGTGGATAAGATGGTGGCATGTTTTGGAGCAGAAGAAGCTGTGAAGATCACGGTGAACATCCTGAAGAAGATGAACCAGAACCTTCTGGCTGAAGAGTTAGAGAACGAACACAAGCAAGGTGACTAAAAGTCCAATTATATATTTGATCATTAACAGAGTGGCTTCGGTAGTGTAAAGACTGAAGTAATAGTTGAGTTTCAGCTTAAACGTTCCTCTTTGCTTTGTCAATGCGTTTGAGTGATTTATGTCACTGCATTGTCGTTTTGTTTCATCTCTCTCAAGCAGTTCAGGCTCAGGGCAATATAGAGGTTTCTGCCACCGTTGGAGCTGCTTCAGAACAGATCTGGGGTAAATAATGATCACGTTATTATTATGGCCGTTGATTTAACATGTTAATTTAATTAATAATGCATTAATAATTAATGCATTTAACGCACCCGTCCCACCCCAGACCTACATATGTCATCTTACATTTCATACAGTTGATTGGTGGCACAATATTGTTTGTTTTAGCTCAATTTTCAATAAAAATGTTACCAATAAAGCCACAGCAGAGCTGTTGTGCATCTCCGAGCAACACAGAAGTGATTAATTTTTGAATGAACCTGGGTTCTGAATGAATCGGGCAAACCAGTGATGAAATGGCCCATTCATAAAGAGAGCCGTTTACTTCATTCCTGAATGCATCAGCCCTTTGAATGAATCAAATGAATGAATGACTTACAATGACTTACTCAGTAACACATTTACTGCCACCTACTGGCAGTTTTAGTTTCATGTTTACAGTATTATTAAAAAGATATTTTGAAGAATGTTGGTAACCAAACTGTTTTCAACAATGCATTGTATGAACAAAAAATACTGAGACATTTCTCAAGTGTGATTTGTTTAAATTTATCTTTGCATCTGTTTCTTATGTAAATAATAATTATATATTTGTTAAAAAAATTATTACACTATCTCAGTTAAAAACATAAAAACTGAGGCATAAATTACTGAAATGTAATTTTTTCTTGACCTGGTAAGAACTTTACACGTTAACACACTCTGCTAACTTAGATAATTTAGGAATGTCAACTGAGTGTGGAATCATGGGAGTTGTGGTCTTCATCCCCACAGCCGATGCAATCTGACGGGACTCGGCAGAAATCATGTTCATGGATGAGCTAAGGATTTATTAAAGTAGTAGTATGAAGCAGGGTGAGGCTGAAAGCCGTCGAAGCGAAACGAGGCGCTGAACGAGCGTGATACACGGCTGGAAAGCAGCAGAGCTTTTATTATGCCACAGTCGAGCGCTTCCGCTGCTTCCGGTCGTGCGTATGTGGGGTAAAGCAGCGGGGCTTTTATTATGCCACAGTCGAGCGCTTCCGCTTCTTCCGGTCGTGCGTATGTGGGGTAAAGCAGTGGAGCTTTTATAATGCCACAGTCGAGCGCTTCCGCTGCTTCCAGTCATGTGTATGTGGGGTAAAGCAGCGCTGTTTTATCATACTAGATACATTTAGTTCTGTTATAATGCTACTCTGTGCGGTCGTCACCGGTCTATTAAAACACACAACATATTAAAGCGTCTTTGGTGTTTCCATGTTTTCTACAAAACAAAACCGGAAATCGAGGGGTTTTGACATCATTGGCAGGCGACACAATGACACTATAGACACGCTCCGTGCCACTAGTTAAAATTGCTTATTTCTCTGGATTTAAACATTCTTTGAAACATTTGGGATAATGTAAGTATTGTGCCTTTAAGTGTTGAACACAGCATTAAGATAAATAAAACACTTATTCAAGTACATTTATTTATAAAGGGCATCATAGACAAGGTTAAAATTAATTATACAGCTCAGAAGTTTGAGATATCTAACTTTTTTTGCTGTGTTTTATTTTCCTTTTTCACAAAGGCTCAACTGCAGAGGATAGTAAAGCTGGTATTCCTGATTATGGAGAGATCAGCCTCAGACTGAAGAACAGATTACAAGAGGACTATAAGCGGATATTGGTTGGTAATTCACAAACAGGTCATCAGAAATATCTGAATGATATTTACACTGATCTATTCGTGGTGGAGAATGAGACTGGAGGAATAGTGAGTGACCACGAGGTGAGACAGATTGAATTGAATATTCACCAAATTACTGTGAAGGACACCACAATCTTGTGCAATGACCTATTCAAAGTCCAGTATGATACTGGTCGGCAAAATAAAAAAGTACTAACAATGGGGATTGCAGGGGTGGGAAAGACAGTCTCTGTCAATAAATTCATTCTTGACTGGGCTGAAGAAAGAGAAAATCAAGACATACTCTTCATATTTCCACTCCCATTCCGTAGACTGAATATGATTACAAAGAACTGCAGTCTCATGGAACTGGTTAACGAATGCTTCTTTAGTGATCCTGAAGAACTGCCCTCTCTTCCTGAAGATGACGGTAAGGTCATGTTTATTTTTGATGGGCTGGATGAGTGTCACTTCCCTTTGAGATTTCATGATAGTGATGGATTTACAGATGTGCATGAACAAACAACAGTGAGTAAGATAGTTACAAACCTGATCAAAAGGCATCTGGTTCCCTCTGCTCTCATCTGGATCACGTCCAGACCAGCAGCAGCAGGTCTGATACCCCGAGACTACATTGATCAAGTGACAGAAGTGCGAGGATTTAATGATGAGCAGAAAGAGCAATACTTCATCAAAAACAGCAGTCCTGAGGTAGCTGGAAACATCATCCGTCACATCAGGAAATCCAGGAGTCTCTACATCATGTGCCACATCCCTGTCTTCTGCTGGATCTCTCTTACTGTTCTTCAGCCTCTGCTGGCTCGAGGGAGCAATGGCAAAACTCCCACAACTCTCACAGAGATGTACACAAACTTCTTGCTTTCTCAGAAGGTTCAGATGGAAAAAAAATACAGTGATAATCCTGAACTTAAGTTCAAAGCCAGGTCTTTTGATCAGATTGTTCTAAAGCTTGGGAAATTGGCCTTTCAACAGCTGGAGAAAGGAAATCTGATTTTCTACAAAGAAGATCTTGAGGAGTGCGGACTAGATGTCAGTGAAGGGTCAGTGTTATCTGGGTTATGCACTCAGATCTTTCAGACGGAAAAGGTTGTTTCAGCCAGAAACATTTACAGCTTTGTACATCTCAGTGTCCAGGAGTTCCTTGCTGCTCTCTATGTGTTTCTGATTTACAAAGATGAGAAATCAAACCTATTTCTTCAAACCTGGAGAAAGACACTATCATGGAAACTGTCTAATAAGCAGCTGTTTCATCTTCTGAAGTCTGCAGTCAACAAGGCTTTACAAAGCAAGAACGGACACCTGGACCTTTTCCTCCGGTTCCTGCTGGGTCTCTCACTGGAGTCCAATCAGAGTGACCTGAAGGAACTGCTGCCAGAACTGAAACTGAGTACCGCGAACATTAAAGACATCGTTGACTATATCAAACAGACAATAGAGAAGGAGAAATCAGTGGAGAGGACCATCAACCTGTTCTACTGTCTGAGTGAACTGAAATATGACTTTGTCAAGGACATTCAGAAGAATCTGAGCTCAGGAAATCTTTCGGCACAGAATCTCTCCTCTGCTCAGTGGTCGGCTCTGGTGTTTGTGCTACTGATGTCAGAAGTGACTCAAGATAAGTTGGAACTGCAGAAATACAAAAGATCTGAAGAAGCACTGATGAGAATGCTGCCCGTGATCACAAACACCAGAAGGGCACTGTAAGAATATTTTTTAAATGTTTTCATGTATATACATAATTATTCTTTCTAATCGAGTGGTAATATTACATTTCATTAAGTGACGCTCTCCATCAGACAAGTAAATCTTAGATTATAAATCCTGTCTGATGCACATTATAACATTATTTGTCTTGTTTTCCACACAGGCTACAATCCTGTAATCTCACTGTTGAGTGTTGTGAGAGTTTGTCATCAGTGTTACAGTCCTCCATCCTGAGAGAGCTGGATCTGAGTAACAATGACCTGCAGGATTCAGGAGTGAAGCTGCTCTCTGATGGACTGAAGAGTCCAAACTGTCAGCTGGAGATACTGAGGTAATTAATAATACAGTGCTGTCTTTTATAATGATGTACCGAACAATGATTATCTACTACCTTTAAAATTATTTTAAACAGTAGTACTGCAGTGCAGCTACATTTAAAGGTTTTGATGTTCCAGATTACTAGCACTGTAACAGAGTTGTATATGTTTGTGTCACATTTTGCTCTCTGTTCCTTGTGCTTTTGTTTTCTTTCTATTTCCTGGTCCGTCTTCATTAGTCTCCTTTTTTTCAGCTGTGTCTAATTAACACCTGTGTATATAGGACTTGTTGTTTCTTCCATTCATTGTCTGGTGTTGTTCCTTTATGGATGTTCCGCTGGCATGTTCAGTTCTGTTCCTTGTGCCCTGTTCCTTGATTCCTGAGTAGGTTTTGTGTTGTTATATTCTAATAAACTGCTTGCTATTGTATTTTACGCTCCCTCAAACTCTGAGTTCATCAGCGTGAGTTTGAGATTGCCGAAAATACTTGGCATTACCGTAACTTTCAATGCAAGATATTTAGAAAAACTATCAGGATGCTGATAATAATTAAGAAAAGGAGTCTGTTGGGAAATGAAATGGAAAAACTAATCACTTGTTCAATCACTCAGGCACATTGTCCTTCATCTATGCATTTCAAAGTGTTTGATATTTTGGAAGTGTATGCATTGTTTTTGTCCACATATGGGGACAGAACAACATCAGAGAGTCTTACTCGTCTCCGGAAATAAAGAAACAGGCGGTTAACTCATCACAGACCCCTCTCACCCAGGACACAGCCTATTTTCACTTCTACCCTCAGGCAGACTCTACAGTCAGATCTGATTCAACCATGCTGGGGGATAAACTGAAGCATGTGTGTGTGTGAGGGCATATTATTCAGTGAGTCAGAAGATAAATGATAAATGAAAACACAATCTTCTTACAACTATTGCAGTAACATATGTACTGTATGATCCTTGCAGGCAGGGCCAGCTCACACAAAACATAATTTCACCTTTGTGTCTGTGGCTTTTGAGCAGATTTTACATTGATTTCTATAAAGAGAATAAGTGTAGTACCAGTCAGAAATTTGGACACACCTAATCAATCTTTGTTAATACTAGTTTCCACTTTGTAAAGGGGTCATATGATGCGATTTCCATTTTTCCTTTCTCTTTGGAGTGTTACAAGCTCTTGGTGCATAAAGAAGATCTGTAAAGTTGCAAAGACTAAAGTCTCAAATCCAAAGAGATATTCTTTATAAAAGTTAAGAGTCAGCCACACCTACCTAAAACAGCTCGTTCTAACACGCCCCCACATGTCTACATCACTATGTGGGAAGATTTGCATAATGCCGCCCAAATGTCCAAAGAAAGAAGGCGTAACTTTTATTCTCGCTGTAGTATTGTTGCCGCCGCCATGTCGTGAAGGCGCTGTGTGTTTCGGTGTAAAAGCACAACTACTTTGTTTGGTCTTCCAAAAGAGGACGATATCTGCTTCGTCATGCCTAGAGCTGATCCGTGCTGGTCGCTGAGGAAATACATCAACTTCACGCTGTGGATCGCCAGATCGGCTTTCACCGTGGATGAAGTGGAGTCCAGCCTGGGGTCGTCACATGTGGTTGCTGCAAGCCCGCCGGACGCTCCTTCGTCAAATCCGCCGGCCGTTCCTCACTCTAGCCCGCTGTGTGTGACGCTGTGTTTCGTTGTGAAAGCGAAACTACTTTGTTTGGCCTTCCAAAAGAGGACACGACTAGAAATCAGTGGTTAAGTTGTATTTACAACACTGTTCCAGAACACTTCAACCCAAATATTCAGATGTGTGCAGCACATTTTGCGGAGGATGAGGACTGTTTCCTGGGAGAGTAGCCTACAATGCTGGTGTCTGTTTCTATAAAGTGGGGCTGTTTCAACTTTGCGAGGACAGTCTGGCGCTTCTGAATCACAGCCTGTAAGTACGTTTTTTATATTTAAAGAATTTGCCACTGACGATTCAAACGCGAGTTTTGGGCAGTGTAGAGTAGCGCTTGTTGTTTGTCATTTCTCTGATCACAAATGCAGACAGGGTTTTATGTTATCGCGCCGCGACGCGTAAAAAGACAATATAAGTCATTATAATCAGTAATTATGTCCCACTGAATGCAACAAATGCCTGGTTTATAATGGGTTTTAATGGTTTTGTCTCGTCGCTCCGGCCGGACAGGGCATCATCACAGTATGGTGAGGGGCGTAACATTTCCGTCACACGCTTGAGGTATTCGGCCAATCACAACGCACTGGATAGCTGGCCAATCAGAGCACACCTCGCTTTTCAGAACGATGAGCTTTGTAAAAATCTACACGTTTCAGAAAGGCGGGGCATAGAGGAGAAACAATAATGTACAGTATGTGGAAAATAATGTGTTTTTTTAACCTTAAACCGCATAAACACATTGCATTACACCAAATACACCAAATAATGTTCTTTTTAGCAACATCATATGACCCTTTTATCTAAACAAATCAAAACAAATCAAATTAAATCCTAAACAAATCAAATTAACTGTAGAATTTGAATTCCTTAAAGTAGCAGATTTTGCCTTTACACTGTGTATTACCTAGATGTGATGCAACAAGTGATGTATCTGTCTACACTGAGCACGAACATAGATTATAACGGCAATCAATCATAACTTTTATTCTTTTATTTTTAGGATAAATAATTAAAGAAAGTATTGTAAATTTAACTCTGCAGCCAAATCTTTCTTAATATAATTCAGGCCACTAATATAGGTATAAGTGTTTGTACTTGATATTTGTAATGTGACCAATAATGTGATCTGACTTTTGATGTGTGTCTGTAGATGATCTGTCTCTGTGTGTCTGTAGGTTATCAGGCTGTATGGTGACAGAGGAAGGTTGTGGTCATTTGTCTTCAGCGCTGAGTTCAAACCCCTCACACCTGAGAGAGCTGGATCTGAGCTACAATCACCCAGGACCATCAGGAGTCCAGCTGCTCAAACACAAACTGGAGGATCCAAACTATAAACTGCAGATACTCAGGTATGTTTGGCAGTAAAACATTGTACAGTATACTAACTAATTTGTTATACACTGCTCAAAAAAAAGAAAGGTAACACTTAATTATCACAGTATACCACAAAGTCAGTTCAACTTCGGGGATATCAATCTGTCCAGTTAGGAAGTATAAGTGACTGTGAATTAGTTTCACCTGCTTCAGTACAAATGAAAGTGACAACAGGTGCACTGGAGAGGCGACAAACAAGACAACAAAAGGGAATGATTTTGCATAGACAATTGATCTCTCAGTGTTTCTGCAGTAAATGTCAATGCTGCTTGTTTTCAATCTTCACTTATCAGAAACTGGAAGTGTTGATATATTAAGTTAATTAAATTAAGCTGCCTGGTTGGGAACGGCTGGTTTATGAATAGGGTCATGTTTATGGCTAGTCTGGATTTAACAGTCCAGTCCAAATAAATTACAACCAGTAGCACAGATAAATACAGGAAAACAGACAGGCATTTTGACAAAACTTTGTGTGTATTTGCTCGCAAAGACTCGCTACTCGTGTGCTGTCTGAGAGGTGGCTTTCTTTGTCCGTGCACAGAAACTCACATCACGCGAGTACGGATTTGAGTTCTCTTTCACGGCGTATTGCGATTGAATGGCTTAAAATCACTTGAATGTTTAAACTAACAAGACTTCACAAGGGTCTAGAACTGCCCCTTGTGTACACCATTCAGATTACTCTTCACAAAACCACTATTTATTTCTTAATTAGTGCCAAACTACTGACTGATCAAGTCTAAGAGCAATGTTCATTTTAATCTATGACAATGGAAGAAAAGATGCAGCTACTACTTGTGATGAATGTCCTGATAATGAACGTGAGAGATACAGTTCAGATGTGTGTGTTTGTGTGTTTATAGTGTTGATCACGGAGGAGTGATCAGAATGTCAGCAGGACTACAAAAATGTAAGTCTTCAAACACATGAAGTTGTGTTGTTGTTGTTGTTGTTGTAGATAAGTGATTCTCAAGCTTTTTTGAGGGAAACCATCCTCAACCTATCCTTAATATTTTTGTGATGAACAAATGCAATTAAGTATAATTCACTTTTAATGTCATTTGACTTGTCCAATATTCAGCCATATCATCAGTTATATTGCCTTTTTAATGGGAACATGTCATCTGTCCGAATATTATATTGTTAAACAATTATATGATATATGCTACTCAGATATTATATTCAGACCTACTGGAATTACTTAAAGGACCAATAGGGGTCAATGGACCACAGAAACAGTGTTTTATCTCTCTTCTTGTGTTCAGGGGCCTGTGATCTCACACTGGATCCAAACACAGCACACACTCGTCTCTTCCTGTCTGATGAGAAGAGGAAGATAATGCTTGTGTATGAGCATCAGCCGTATCCTGATCATCCAGAGAGATTTGAGTTCTGTGATCAGGTTCTGTGTGTTGAGAGTCTGACTGGACGCCATTACTGGGAGGCTGAATGGAGTGGGAGGTTTGCTATTATAGCAGTGTCATATAAAGGAATCAGCAGGAAAGAACGTAAAGCTTGTTGGTTTGGATACAATGATAAATCCTGGAGTCTGTGGTACTTTGATGACAGATTCACTATCCGTCACAATAATAAGAAAACTTACATACCTGCCCCTTCATCCTCTACTAGAGCCGGAGTGTATGTGGACTGGTCTGCTGGCACTCTGTCCTTCTACAGCATCTCTGACACACACACACTCACACACTTACACACATTCAACACCACATTCACCGAACCCCTTTATGCTGGATTTGGGGTTCATTATGATTCTTCACTGTCTCTGTGTCAGATTTGAGTACACACATTGTTGGGACTGATGTGGTTTACTTGTGGGTGTGACACTAAGCCAACAGTTGGCTGTCTGGCAACAAAAGGCCATCACTGAGCAGTTTTCACGGTGTGTCCTGCACCATTGGCACTAGTTGGACCCGGTTGGCGACTTTTTGATTGTTGAATCCACATTGGGCAGTTGGTGAAAAACATCATTCAGATTGACTGTTCAGTTCAGAGAATCAGTGCATGAGAAGAAAAATAAATAAATATCAAACAAGGAAGTAAGTCAAGTGGTCTCACACATCTTACTTGGCTGTCTGGAATGAAGAGAGTGATCATGTTCCATTATATTGACACACATCTGATATTTTCTTAACTGTTTGTGTTCACCTAAGACCTAACCGACTGTTTTCAAGGATACTTGCCAAAAACAGGTATTTTGACATCATTTTATATGTATTTGTCCAGTCAAGCGTGAAAAGATGTGAAAGAGAACTTGTTTTGGTGTTTGCAAGTACTGAATTTAGTTATTTTGCATTATCTTGAATGCTCTAAAATCACTTGAAAGTTGATAAACTTTCGTGATGATGCAGAAGTGGCCTGATCAACCAATCACATCTTTCATGCTGACCTCAGCTATCAGGCAGTCCTTATTATCAAGCCCTGCTGTTAGTTGATGTGGCATTGGGCATAAATCATATTGCAGTGTTTCTTAATTTGTTTTCAGTTACTGTAGTATCTTGTGTGTTTTGGGATCAGCAAAATGGTGAATTCATGGGAAGAATGAAAATAAACCAGTCTCATACGCCCAAGATGAGTTCTGCTTTCTGATCATAATGCTTTTTAACAGCAGCAGTTTCAGGGCTCTTGTTTTAAAGGGAATATCAGATGCTCATTTTCCACAAGTTGGTATGATTCCTTAGGTTCTTAATGAAATATCTGTAACATACTTCGGTTAAAATTCCTCAATGGTCATGTAAAACAACACCATTTTACCTTGTTAAAAACAGCTCTGTTCACAGCGACTCGTTTCAGTGTATGTCTCTTTAAATGCTAATGAACTCTGTTCACCCCGCCCCTCTCTTCCATGGAAGAGGAAAGGCAATTTGCAAGTAATCATAAAAGACTTAAACTACTTCAGTCTGTGTGCATTGAATTTATTTAATACACAAGTTTCACAATTTGAGTTGAATTACTGAAATAAATGAACTTTTCCACAACATTCTAATTTATTGAGATGCACCTGTATATAAAGTGTGAGACTTACTTCTTCTGGAGGTGCAGCTGGATCACGAGCACGTGGGTATGGATCCATCTTGCGTTTGAACTTTTTAGCAAAACCTGCCTTGAATTGTGGCTCGTTCAGAAAGCAGTCTGGAGTAAAAATTATTTGCGCAGACATAAACAAATTTAGGTGTATTCGGTGGCGCATTACCATCAAAAACAAAACGAATCCACTGCATCCTCAGTGGCTCTGACGTCTGGAGAAAATGACTTATATTAAATTTTACATCCATCTTCAAAACACCTGCACTGCATACGAGTCATTAGCCCCTTTCACACACGTTTACACATTCCAATACAACATCTGTAGTAACTGGATTACTGAATTCTGTTTTCAGCAGACATGGAAACCCTGAATGTCTGGTAACTGATAATGGACCGCAACTTACCTCTCTTTACTGCTTTCTTGGATTAACAGAATATCACACACACTAAGATGTCTGTATACCATCCTGCAGCCAGTGATGCTGTGGAAAGATCCAATAAGTTTCTTAAGGACTGTGCAAATGGCCATTCTCCAGAAGCGACCATGGAAACAAGCAGATTTTGAATTTTTGCAGACCTATCATTCTACCCCACATGCAACGACTGTTGAATTTAACTGTTGTATGGTAGAAAAATTAGATCCAAACTTACTGTGTTACACCTCACTCCAGTAACACACGGGACAAGGTAGTCAGACGAGTGTCGATTCGTCAGAATAGAATGAAGCGATACTCTGATGTGACACGAGGGGCTCGGGTGCTTACATTTCAGGTGGGAATTGACTGCGTGTTCAGAAACCAACACATGTTCCCAAAGGACATTCAAAGTTCACACAGCCTGTGGAAATAAAGAAACAACAAGTAGGTCCAAGCACGTACAGATTGGCGTATGGACGACTGTGGCATTCTTCTCTCTTATCCTTGGTCCCAGTGTTTGGTTTGAATTACTGAATGTATGTATGTAAATAAATTGAATATGGAGACTGAATATAATCACTGCTATGCTGTTGTTTCAAAGGAACTTTGTTATAATATGGTGAAAGCTTTTGCATGTGTGTTCATATTGAAGTTATTAACTGTTTGAGTAATTGGTACTGAGTGAAATTGTTTACGTAACGGGGGAGATGTGGTGTCCTGTTATTCAATGTTATGCTTACTGAGGCCACAAGGGAGAACTAGCACGGTTCAGGATAAGTAGGAAGGGATGAGAGTTAGAAGAGAAGTAGAGTGATGAGCGCCAGATGTATGTGTGTTAAGAATTGTTAATAAATGAGCTATGTGACTTGTTCAACTTCTGGCTTCATATTGCTACCTGAAATACAACAGAGGAACTGTATATGTTTTTGTTAACAAAAGTGTGAAATGATAGAGGAGGGGTCAGAAAAAAGATGAGACTGAATGAACTTGTGTATAAAGTTCCAGTATGATTACTTTAGGTTAATTTGTGTTCATAAATTAACAAAAGATACAAAACATGATGTAAAATGTGGACTTTTGCTGTCAAATAAATTAGAATGTCTGTGTTAAGAACAGTACATGTTGTTCATTTACATATATAGGGTTGTATTTATAGGGAAAGATTATCGGTTTGTGAGCAGTTGAACTGAATTCCTCGTTTACGGTTTCTGATGTCTATTGTGAAAATGAAAAAAATTCACATCAACACATAAAGCCTATCATTGCTGCAGTTTACTGTTGATTTGTTTCCATTCTGTATCTAAATAAGTGACCCAAAACAACGGAAATGTTACGCCCCTCACCATACTGTGATGCCGTGTCCGGCCGGAGTGACGAGACAAACACATTAAAACCCATTATAAACGAGGCATTTGTTGTATCCAGTGGGGACATAATTACTGATTATAATGACTTATACTGTCTTTTTATGCGTTACGTAGCATCGTGCCGCGTAAACATAAAACCATGTCTGCATTTGTGATCGGAGAAATGACAAACAACAAGCGCTACTCTACACTGCTCAAAACTCACGTTTGAATCATCAGTGGATAATTCTTTAAATATAAAAACATACTTGCAGGCTGTGAGTCAGAAGCACCAGACTGTCCTTGCAAAGTTGGAACTGCCCCACTTTATAGAAACAGCCTTTGTGCCACAGACGCAGTGAAGGCTACTGGTTCAAGAAACTGTCCTCCATAAAATGCGCTGCACACATCTGAATATTTGGGTTGAAGTGTTCTGGAACAGTGTTGTAAATACAACTTAACCACTGATTTCTAGTCGTGTCCATTTTTGGAAGACCAAACAAAGTAGTTTGCTTTCGCAACGAAACACACAGCGTCTTCACAACATGACGGGGGCAGCAACAATACTACAGCGAGAATAAAAGCTACGCCTTCTTTCTTTGCGTGAACATTTGGGTGGCGTTATGCAAATCTTCCCACATAGTGATGTAGATATGTGGGGGCGTGTCAGAACGAGCCGTTTTAGGTAGGCGTGGCTGACTGAAATGCAGCTCACTGGAAATGCATTGAGACCATGCGGTCACTAAATAGATTGTTAAAGGCAGTTTCAAAGTAAATTTAGGACATTTCGTTGCTGTTTGTTGTTTTATTTTTGTATAATTTTTGTTTTTTGCTGTTTTAGTAGCTGGCTGAAAAGGAGCGCAAGCTCAGTTACGTATATTTACACATTTATATAGCATATTTTGTTTTTATGCTTGGCCTATATGCGTTTGCATAATTAACATTAAGTTGTTTATCATTGATGCTAGTGTAACCCGCACAAGGTTACTGGAGTGCAACTCTCTACTGTGCCTGTGGGTGGCGCGTACACCCCAGGGAATTACTATTTTAAAAAAAACACGCCTTTCCTCCGGTGAAGACGCTACTAGAAAGCAACAAGGTCTGATTGAAAGCTGTGAGAGAGAGAGTTAAGCTGCATGACAGCGAGCTTCTCAAGATACCTCCGATTGGTTTTAGAAAGGGATAGACCATCTGAATCTGACCCTGGTGGTCAGTGGCGAGCCAACCGCAGAAGTGAACGGACCAAGAGCCTGGTGTGGCCAGCCGTGCTGGCATCTTTGGAACCATTATCATCCTGTGCCTTCATTTGAAATACAGATAAGAACACACATAAACCTACCCGGGTAGTGAAAAGAACGTACATACTCCAAGACACACGGGGGGGGGTTGATTTTGTTTTGTTTATTTTTTGAAGTCTAATAAAAAGCAGATTAAGCTCTGCATCCTTGAGTCCTTCTTCATCCCTTGCCTCAACTGACAATAAGTAACATTAAAAGATATATCTGCACACCATATTTTTCCCAAATTATTATACATCATAGTATTATCAAACTTATTTTACATTTATTTTGTTTGTGAAATCCGTACTAAGACTCTGACATATATCAGTGACATGTCAGTGATGTGTAATTTGTATATTACACATACAAAGACATTTAAGTTGTTTTTATAATTATATATGAGACAAATGTCAAAATATGTATTATACATACATGAACATATAAAATAAATGGGATACAGTTATATGTCAATATATGGAATTGTTCCCATTTCTAATAGGTTTCATATGTTTTTACATTATATGAGCATTTATGTTTTTCATCTATATGAGCATATTAGCACATTTCATATATGAGACATATATATCAAAATATGTATTACACATACATAAACATATAATAAATGGGATAAATGTATATGCCAATATATGGAATTGTTCCAATTTCTAATAGGTGTCATATATGTTTTCACTTTATATGACCATATAGTACATATTTTGATATTTCATATATGCACATATATTACATTACCGTATGGGTAATAAGAACACTTTCTGAGTTTTTAATGCTCCTTTTA